AATCTATAATAACAAATTCAACATGCTAGCATTGTTTAAGTGTATAGTCTATACATCCTTAAGCGAAACCAATGGCCAGAGGGAAAATGCATAAAAATGGAAATTCGAGAAAAAAACGAGTTACGTACAAATCATGGTTTCAGGGAAGGAGAAACCCTTTTTCATACAACGGCGTGACACCACGATTAATAATCGCTGTGGACGACGTCTGAGGAGAAAGGAAAACCCCGGGCAACATTAATTTTCCTGGGCGAATGAAAATGTACAGGTGCAAAATGAACTTGAAAAAAGGGAAAAGCTTATGATAAAATAAATAACGATGGACGGAGGAGACGAAGAAAAAGGGAATGAAGTCAGCTCTGGCTGTCTAATATCGGAGACCTACGAGCCCTTGAAACCGCTAGTGGAGTAAGTCAATGAATATGCTTTCTCAGATGTCCAAGAAAGGTAAAGAATCCTGTGAAAATTTTATAAATCACAAACGCGGCTGTTCCACTCCGGCTTCCTTGACGATAAACTATAGGGGCGATTCTTTTTTATTTCGAGTCCCGAGTTGTTCTCGTCTCTTAACATATTACTTCCACCCGGCAAATTCGTGAAAAATAAATTCACGCGACTGTTGAAGTGTTCAATTACGAGAGTAAAAAATTAACTTAATTCAGATTTGCTTTTTAATTTGGCATTAAAAATTTATAAAAGACTGACACGGATAATTTACGCTTTGACGCCGGGCGTACGATACAAAGGCCGTGAAAATGTGTTGGCCGTGACGATCGTGTAAAACGAGTGGCTGGAAACCCTCTGCTGCGATGCAACGCGGCACGGCGTTGGCCAACTGCCTGGGTCTGTGGCCTATCGTTTATTAATTAACCGACTTAATTAATAATTCAATAACCGCCAACGCCATCCCGCACGCCTAGAGCCCTGGCACACACCCCTTCGGTGGCCGTCCTTTGCACCCTTATGTTGCGGATATACTACGTATAGAATTGAGCGTAAACCGTAGCCTGGCAGAGTCCGCTGAAACTGGTCGACCAGTTTATATCGCGACGATCGGTTGTTTCGTGACGAGGGTAGAGTTTAGAGAATGGCCTGGCTGATCCCTCGCCCGATTCAAGGGGTTGTAAACCACTTCTCATTCAGATAAGGGGTGAAGAAATGTTACTGGGTGGACTTATCATTTACTTAATTCACTATTTATATTCTTTTGAACGATAGAGCGGAGGTAATCGAGGTCAAAATATCAATGGGAGAAGAATTACCATTAGCCGGCGGATTTTTATGCAAACTACTTATGGTATCAGTTTAAAAAAATGTTTCACGTAGAAATTTTTAAACATTTCAATGTGTAGCTTGCATTTGGTATTATACATTTCATGCATTACTTATACAGTGTTTATATTTTCTGCACATTCAATTTCCTTATGAATTTATAAAGAATTGAAACACTGCACACACATGAATAATGAAAAATATCAATTTGAGACATGTATTTTATACAGATATTTGTTTGATCGTTTAAATATTGAAACATTTATCCTGATTTTCGTATTCTGAATTATTTTCTTTTTATTGAACGTTTAAAGTAACATTGACAACTGTGGTTATTAGCGACTTAGAAAGTAATATCAACTACTATTACAAGATCCAAAAATAATAATAAATCTATGCCACTATTTTCGAGTTTTGTCCCTACAGAGGACAATGAAGAATGTGTCAAGAATCATTGTCAAGCTGTAGCTGTAGCACATGTCCAATCATTTAATCGTTTTACTATCCATTCAGCTTTTAAATATTCTGTTTTATTCCCTGCATTTATAATTTCTGCACATTAAATATTCTTATAATTGCATAACGTCCGCAGTCTAATTACCAAAACTCTCAATCAATTGTAAAACGCGTAGGTTCGTACAGTTTTGTGAATGATTGGATACGAAGATTTAATCTTGAATAATTGCCTTTGGAATTCGCTGCCAGTTCATGCAATAAGAGAAACCCGGATCCACTTCAATTATTCTACACAGCACGCGAATGCAAACAGGGTTTAGGTCCGAATAATTGCGCTATTTTCCAGCGAACCGATCGGTAACAACCCGATGAAAATTATCGTTATTAATTGCGGGCCAGCTGCAGCAAATATTTGTACTCACCATCGTCCCCTTCTCTCTCGCTCCCCCGATCATTGTTGATTACTAATCCCTTCCAAACAGAGTTTCTCTTCAAGACTCGCGGGCAAACTTCGTATTGGTGTTTAACCAGCTCCAGGTTAATCGATGCCTAATTAAACAGAAGATACGACTACATTATTCCGAAAGTCGAAGGATTTACTTTTAGGAGACTTGGAGCACCTTCACAGAGTCAACACATTTTTATAATCTCTTAATGAACGAGCGAGAACGGGGACGAGACTGGCCGCAATCTTTCACCTCGGATCGCGGTTAGGGATCGACTCTTGTGAACGGGGGATAGCGTGTGTGTGACGCGCGGGTGGAACGTGCCACCCCGGCGACATTCGGTCGTGTTGGTCTGACACGCGCCCACTGTAAACCACGGAGGCCACACGTAAATCTACAGCCGCGTATTATATAGCACGCTTCATTTATTTGTGGTACACTTAATTAGACGGTTTAATTATTCGAGGTAGAGCGAAACGCAAATTGACTTTTCCCGCGCGAAAATAAGTTGAAACATTTTCCAGCAGGTCGGAATAAAACGGTCCGGGTTTCAAGGAATTGAATGAGATTTTAATATCCCTCGCCTTACTCCGTTCTCTTATTCATGAGAACGTTCTATAAAAAGTGGAACGCCCTGTATGAAATTTCATCCCATTACAATTGCACCGTCACGTTCTAATTTCAATTTTCTCGAAACCCTCGGCGGACTCGCTGAGTCACGATCAGGGATGCGGTTGAACGATCGCTTTGGAGACCGTTGGGTTTGACTAAGAGAAAAATATTAGACGATTACGTACACAGATCGGTGATAAATTTCTCTGGGCGGGAATTGGAACCGCTCGTAAGGTTCATAAAGACCGGTGGCCGAGCACGACCGTCGCGTTGCTCTACCTATTACGTAATTAGAAAACAGGACGCGATCGTTGCTTTTATCGTCCTCGGGCGCGTGCCGATTTATGTTAATGGACCGTCGTTCGTGCGCAGCGTATTGTGTCCTAGCTTTCGTTTCAGTTTTCCGGCTAATGGATACAAATTCCGTTGGCTACCAAGGCCCGCGCAGTTGCGTTGGTATTTTACAAGTGTCCGCTTGTTTGAAATTCGATTTTAACCTGCAGTATCTCCGCTCAACGAGTACACAGCGCGCGATAGGTATTCCGTTTCGCACAAACATATGTTTTCCCCGATAGAATATATCGTGTCTAAAATACGTCAGTCTCGACAAAAGTGCGAAGAGAAATGTAGGGACATTTGAAAAGCGAGCTGTTCGTTATAATCTTTTGAAAAAGCGAGTACGAAGCACCTGGCCTGGGAAGAATCTCGAATTAAACGTTCATCAACCGTCGGGGAATATTCCTTGAGAGGAAACGAGACGGGGCGAGGAAAAAGCGAGACCGACTCCATAAATCACCTCGTGAAAAAGTCCGGTTCCCTAGACACCTCACAATCAGACTTCCTGTACATCTCTTCAGAAGAAACGCGACATTCATGGATAGCTGTAAAACGTTTCCCTGCCCGATACTCGGTCCCTTCTTTTACCTCGTTTTTCGGCCGTTACGACGGCGTCGTTTTTCCGTGGCTCGCGTTAAAATTCGCCCGCGGCCACCGCCGCCGCCCGGTTTAATGCGAGAGCGACGCGATTATTTTTCGCCGTTACATTTTAATGAAACCGCCGCCTTCGCGTTCGAGGACGTTATCGAGCGGAGATTTTCCGCGGGTGCCGCGCGGCGAGTGCCGCCCGGAAACGATTATTCACCGATTCCTCAGCGGAGATCCATGCGTGCGGTCATTACCGGTGAAATACGGCTAATAAAAATCACGGCCGCGCGCAGTTCCGAACTTCGGAATGGGAAAAGTCCGCATAAAACTCTGGACAGGATAAGTCTGGGACGGGCCAAGCCGCGGGGCGAGAGAGAGAGAGAGAGAGAAAAAAAAAGGATTCAGATAAAATGCTCGGATACATTCGAAATCCGAATCGATGCTCGTTGTCTCGGCTTTTACGAGCCTCTGCAAATAACCTAATGCGTTTCGCGCGCCAACAGACGGCTGCAGCCTGTTCGCGGAAGAAAAATACTATTTCTTCGGCTCCGCAGCTTTCGACGACCGCTAATTGCAAAACAAATTGCTTTTCATGTAGAAATTGAGGACGTAGGAAAGAGGAGGCTACTGTTCCATTTTCGAGTTTCTCAGTCCAACGCAAAAAATGCAGTATTACTCCGTAGCATAATTGACGAATGAAAATGTTTTTTGTATAGTAAATTGCAGAAATAATGCTGCTAATAAGTTAAGAGGCTAGTTTTTCTTTTGAAAATGTCTCTGGTTTAATAATCTGATTTAATATCTATTTATTTCTTCCTTTTAGCCATAAGAATAGAATTAATTATAAAATATATTCGTCTACAGTTATTAGTGTTAAGTAGCAAGATTTATTGTTAAAAGCATTAGTAGGTCAGTACTGAGGCGCGAGATATTTCGCCCAAAGTAACAAAAGGGTTAAAATGGTATATCTTTTCTCCCAATGTACTGTGTAAACAAATACTACACTCTCTGCTCTTTTTTCATTTTTTAGCCACTAGAAATCGTTACCCGGAATGCACGTACCGAATAAAAACATCCTTCAGCGAGAATTTGATACAATTTCGATAACTAATCAGCGAGAAATAGAAACAACAACCTATCAACTGAATAACTATTAATTGTTGTTCGTAAATACACTTCAGTTATTCGGATAAATGATTAAATTTTGAATGCAACTGGGCGTAAATTGACAATTAACGTTTTGATTTTATTAATTTGATTTAAAATTATTTCATTAACTTCATTGAAGGAAATTCGAATTGATAAATTTCAATTGTTCAAAAATGCTCCTACTGAGAATCAGAAAATCGTTACTTGCTAATGCGGGAATTAAAAAATCTGCAACCCTGTTTAATTAGTCCATTTATTTTCAAGTTGCAATGTTGCTCTATTGTGTTTGTCAGTTTTTCGTATTATTAAAATATTAATTAATAAACAAATTATCTTCTCTCTGGATTTTCAAACTTGAGGAACTTTTTTTCACCCATAGAGCAAAGTTCATTATTAATGTTGGAACGTTGGAAAGTTTGAGCGAACCGGGTTGAAGTTGAAGAACGTAGGTCGACTTTAGATCGAATAAAGTAGAATTATTTTAATTTTGAAGTTGGGACAAAAATTTGCCTGCGGACAATCGGAGTGTCGGGAGGTCGATTCTTGCGAAAGCGCGTCGAAAATGCACGATTGAATCCTTTTTTTTTTGTCGGTCCCGGCCCTCATTCTAGACAAAAACAGGCATCTGAAAATCGGTCGAGTGTTCCGGTGCTCGGCGCTCAAGCGGCGGCGGTTTTCAACTAAATTTTCCGCGGGTCAACGAGGACGACTTCACACAATTGATCAATTAGACGAACAAACAGCCTCGAGTACTAAATTCATACGTCCATTAAATTGCTTTTGTGATCACAGCCTTTGAAGGAATGTTTCGCAACATAGAATAAAATCGAATGTCGTCGAGCCAATAATTTCCTCTTGGTTTGAAATCTAAACACTTTAGGACGAATGCATGTTAAACAATTTTAATGTAGCGCGTAAAATACCTTTCACTGTATTTGTGACTTTCCTCCATTATTATCACTCGTACTCTTGTCTCTCTCAACAAAGAAGATTACAATTTCCCAGAATTAAATGAATGCTATCAATAATTCTTTCCACTTTTTATATGAATTACTAGGAAAATTCCGATAGTGTTTATTTCGACATTTTCACAAATATGGTCATTTGGAATTTTTCTGTACCCGCGGATTCTACGTTGCGTTACGTTGAATACGTCAACTTACAGTTGGACAGTTCTACAAATGAGGAGAAAGGATACGAGCTTAAAGATCCATCCGGTGTGGCAGGCACGACGTCGTACCGGCACGGTTCCTGGTGCAAACTTTGCTAGTCGATAAATAACAATTTGCGCGAAATTGACGCGAAAGGATTTACACGGGCCGTGGCTTCCATTCGCGGAACACACGTTTCCCTGAGTTTTCGAGTACTCCAATGACCACATCGAGATCTGATGTTTCAGAGAAACGATGCCTGCTTTATTAGCCGGATTAATTGTTTAATAAAATGACTGTTTTTATAGGCTTAAAAGGAGCTGCGGAAAATGGAAATCGAATGAAAAAATTTTATGAACCTTTTATACGCGAGATGAATGGAACGTCAATGAAAATCGAAGCTGTGGATATATTGAGTCGTCCTGTCGCGATATCGACTCGTGACACGGAACTGCAATATTCAGTTCATTTTTTGCGCCCACATCTTTTTTATGTCATCAGTGAAAAAAACGAAGTTCATACGGCGGACGAAGTTGAAGCACAGACTTCAAATTAAAGAGGCGCGTTTGAATTCTGCACCGTGCAAACGTAAAATTCAAAAGAATCTCTTTTTATGTTCCATGATGTTTAAGGACATCTTTTATGATCCAAATACGTTTCATAATTTTCGTATAAAATTTGTTAGTAATAATAAACTAAATTGGAAAATGATTTTCTTTTGTGTTGTAAAGTACGAATTAATTCTACAAACGATTTTAAATTTAATTATACTTGAAGAACAGATTTTTTTCTATAGAGAATTTTATATTTACATGCATTCTTATATGCATTTATTAGCTTTATTTGGACGTTGATTCAGGATGTTTCATTCTCCGAAATGGCAATGAATTAATGTATCTTCAATAACGTACATCCTACCTATATTAAATTAAATATTAAATTATCGATATTGTGACAGGTACGTAACAAGTTCGACACTTGTCTGTCCATTTAACTCAATTAATGATTTCGAATATAGTATCATAAATCGTCAATCACTTTCTCATTCGCTTCTGAACAGAAATCTGGGAAATCAATAATTGTTTGACTTCGCATTTATTTTCCATTAGCTACCTAATGGTTACTCGTTAATCTTATCAACTTTGAATCTCTCTTGACTGGGAAACTCGTCTTATTTCTTCTTTTTCTGGAGCTCGAAGCAACAGAATGGAGCAACTCTCTCGAGGGTGGAGAAATAATTCGCGTGGGTCTAACACAGACTGATCTG